GGCAGGCGGCTCGGGCCGTTCGTGTCCGCAAAACGACGTCTGGGGAGCTGTGCCCTTCGCTGAGAGGGAAGACGGTCCGGGGCGTTAAATGTCCGAGTTTTACCGTTCAGTTAGCAATCATGGAAGCGTGCAGCGAGAGATCTTCATTTTTGAGACAAAACCCTCGGAGCTGTAACCCTTGGGTGTCGTTACCGCCACTTAGGCTGGGAACACGCTCAGCAGCGGGTGTATCGCGGTGTCGGGGCGCGTTCTCCATCCGTTTAGAGGGTGCTTGGAGAGAGTGTTGTTGAATAGTGACGTTTCTTTTAGTATTTTGGAGCGTAAGAAAAGCTGTTGATCTAATTCAGATAAGCTAGATGCGTGTATGGTAGTGTGTTATTTTACTGTTTCAAGTACTGTCTCTTTTTTTCTTCAGCAATGGGCTACTTTTGCCAGAGCCTGGTATCTCCTCGATGCGAAGTTGCAGCCACCGGGGAAAATAGCAGCTGCGACTGTGATCAGACTTGAAGGCAGACACAAACCTATTTATCATGCACTAAGTGAGTATTGCAGTAGATAAAAGCAAATTTGCTTTCCTTCGCTCGTATTTTTCTTCTGATTTCAGTTTTAAAATCAAGCCTGATATAGCCTTATATAGTTTATGTTTTTCAATTGCTTTTAAATTACAAATGTCTTCATTTTACTTTTTTGTGAAAGACATTTTTGTCTTTTTCCTCCATACCTCTCTACAACCTTACATTGTTGTCTTTACCAATCCATATAAAGCTTTTTATTAATTGATAATTATTTTTAGTAGCTGAATTATGGCGGGTTGTGCTTTCATTTTTTTAAAACCTTGAAATGTGGTGATTTTGCATTGATGTTAAACGTAAAGATTGAATTCAGAGTGCACGAAGTGAAACACTGATGTGATTCTTAATTAGATTTTCTGACTGCTGCCTTTCACACCTGAATGCTACCTGCACAATACCACAGAATCTTGGAGTGGTTCTTCATTCTGAATAAGGTGCAGAGAAATCCTGTCTTCATGAGGCAGCAGGCGCAAACTGAAACACGGGAGGTTTCCTCTGAACATCAGGAAACACTTTTTTACTGTGAAGGTAACTGGAAGTGGTTTCCCAAGAGGTTGTGGAGTCTCCATCCTTGGAGATGTCCAAAAGCTGGTCCTTCTTGAGCAGGGGGCTTGGACAACATGACCTCCGGAGGTTCCTTTCAACCTCAGACATTCTATGATGATGAGCCCGGAGCCTATCTGATTCTTAAACAGGAGACGTAATCCTTGTTGAAAGATATCTTCTTGTTTAAATCAGAAAATCATTGAGCTTTTCTGCAAATTAGAAGGTTCGGCAATAAAGGTGCACCTGTGATCTTGTTCATTATTTATAATACCATAGTGCCTGTCTCACAGTGATAAGAATTTTGTAGATAATAAAAAGAAAATCCCTCATATTGATCGCACAATCTTTCCTATGATATTCATGCAAATTTTTCAAGAGATATTACTGAAACACAAAGGAAGTGTTAAACTGTGCTCATACATGGAGAGTGTATATACTAAAATTATACTTGATCTATTTTTCATAATAGAAGGTAGTACTTGTAGAGTTCTTAAGATGTTATAAATACCGGAGTTCTGCTGTTGCAAATGATGTCTTCTCCACAAGATGTCACTGGAGACTAAGGCTGTGTGAAGAATGAAGCCAAACTGAGAGGAAATGTTTTTGGTTGTCCTCTGGGAAAGATCTTTGATACTTTTATGTCCATGAAGTTATAAAGTCCTGGAAAGTCATTTCAAAGATAACTTTATTTGTTCTAAACCATTCTATAAATCAGTACCAAATGCATTACACTTGAGACTGACATTGATAGGTTACTACTACTAAGAGACATTTGATACTCTCTTTAGAGAGCAAAGTATGCATGAATTTGTGGTTGATGTATTTAACACTTCTTTTATTTTCTTTTTTTTTTCCCTGAACTAACAAGCAATATTTTAGTATCTGTGAGATAACAGTTCCTTAGACAGAATAACATTGTGGGGATTTTTGTTTTGTTTTGTTTTTAATATCCAGATACCCTTCCATAAATTCATTCTTTATTTATTATGTTGAAAAGTATCTGGTGCTGAATTTAGGCTGGGGTTAGGGAAGGAAAGAAATCTGGTTTCATGTATATTTATTTTCTGATTTAGGGATAATCTTTCATTATTCTCCAGAGTCTCATATTTTTAGATGCTGTCAGACCATATGCCTTAAATAAGGGGGTATGATTTTGTTCAGGAGGTTTCAATCTGGATTTTTAGGTTTCTTCTGCACCTTCCCTTCCCTCTACCTTCATCCGTCCCCTTGCATCCTGTCTTTGTGAGCAGCTTCACAATACAGAACCGAAAATAGCAGCCCAGATTTTTAAAAGAACAGGTGATCCGATTCTTTATGTCGGATTATAAGCAGGTGTAGGTGAACCACTTCTGTTGCTTAGATAGGATTTGCTGCTGTTCTCTGCATCCTCAAAGGAGAAGACTAGGCTAGATGGAAGTGTCCTACAAACCCGATCTGTGTCACTCTGTATTGCAATGTTAGTTTATAATAGCTAGAAGAAGCAGCAAAGACTTGTCTTCTAATGAAAGATTTGGCAAGTAGTTTGTCAGTTTTGTGAGCTAACGGTTGACAATATGTCCCTGGAAGTGTTCAAGGCCAGATTGGATGAGGCTTTGAGCAACCTGATCTAGTAGAAGGTGTCCCTGACCATGGCAGAAGGGTTGGAACTAGATGATCAACCCAAACCATTCTATAATTCTATACCCTTAATTACCATTTAGTCCCTAATTAAAATGTAGGAGGGAAAAATGCATGTACCTGAACCATATGTTTTTACTGTGTGATAGGAATTACTGAAGTTACAAACATGCAGAGATATAAAATGGATTTACTGTAGGAGCTCAGTTTTATCTGAAGAAGTGCAATGCATATGCTGTAGGTAAGAAATGGCATATACCATAGCGTAATAGAGTATACTGGCCTTATTTTTGTGTATTTCTTGAGGAAAACAAACTTACATACTTTACAAAAGAATAATTCGATACTATAGCGTGAAAATTGTAGACAAACCTGAGGGACCTGGACAAGCTTAGGTGGGCCCATGTGAACCTCATGAGGTTCAGCAAGGCCAAATGCAAGGTCCTGGACCTGGGTTAGGCAACCCCTGGTATCAATACAGGCTGGGTGATTGAAAGAATTGTAAGCAGCTGTGGGGAGAAGGACTTGGGGATACTGGTGAATGGAAAGCTGGACATGAACTGGCAATGTGCGCCTGCAGCCCAGAAAGCCAGCCGTATCCTGGGCTGCATCACAGGACTCGTGCGTGTGGCCAGCAGGTGGAGGGATTCTGCCCCTCTGCTCTGGTGAGACCCCACCTGCAGTACTGCATTCAGCTCTGGAGTCCTCAGTGTGGGAAAGATGTGGAGCTGTTGGAGCAGGTCTAGAGGAGGGCCACGAAGATGATCTGATGGCTGGAGCACCTCTGCTATGGAGACAGGCTGAGAGTTGGGGTTGTACAGCCTGGAGAAGAGAATATTCTGAGGAGACCTTATTGCAGCCTTTCAGTACTTAAATGGGGCCTGTAAGAAAGACAGAGACAAACTTTTCAGCGGGGCCTGTTGCGATAGGACAAGGGGTAATGGTTTTAAACTAAAAGAGGGTAGGTTTAGCTTGGATATAAATTCAGTCTACTTTAAAAAGAACGTAGAGCGTTAAGTATCCTGGATAGTTTTTCTCCCATCTCTTTACTGTTCGTAATTGATCTATTGATGTATGGATTTGTTAAGTCAGTGTTTATTCAACTGGAGAACTGTTGGCAAAATTTCCCTAGATGAACTTACTCTGTCATCTTCCCAACTGAAAAAATAAAAAATAAAAAAAGGTGCAAAACCCAGTGTCAGTTCCCTGATATTTATTTACACAAACAATGTTTCTAGAACCCATCTGTCTGCAGTGAAGGGCTGCATCAGTGAAGATGTTTAAATTGTGTTTGCACTTCAGCTGCGGTTGAAGGTAGAGCTTTAAAAGAACAGAAGATTAAAAAATGGTAGAAGACTTAAATAGGGTGTGAAACTTGCTTTCGTTAATTATATACTCCTATTAAAAAACACATGCTCAATTTAAGTCCTTTTTAGTGTAGCTGCTTTGTTACCTGCTCAAACATGTTTTAATGAAATGAACCTCTTCAAGCACTTATGTTGTTGTAATATGGTAATGAATATGAGAGTGAACTTTAGACAAATCGTTTTCCAATTGATTGAATAGGTGATTGGTTATAGCTTATACAGCTCATCAAGATCATTACTTCTGAAATTAAAAGCTACATCTTTTTTCACACTTTCGTCATATTTTTTGAGATAGTATGGGTTTTACTAACACTTTGTTAATAAAGTAAGATGTACTAAAGTAATTTTCTGGCAAGGTATTGGTGATTATACACTTTGCACTTAAAAAAACTTTCGTTGTAAAAGTTGCTGATACAGCACTAAACATATCTGTATGCGCTGTAACATTAACTTCTGCTTGATTGATAAAATTGTGGTTTTTTCCCCAATAGAGCTGTATTAGTTTTTTAGTGGGGCTTTTCTCCCCACCCTTCGTCACCTCCTGCTGTTGTTTTGTTTCTTTAATATATTTAGCCCTAGGCTGCAATTATTTAAAAGAATTATTTTACTTATCCAAAATATTCAGTCGTTCAGTAAACATTGGGTCTTTTTTAATGAGAAAACTAAAATCAGACAGATACTCAGGATTGTTGTTTAGAACTAACCTTTTTTTATTCTGGCTTTTTTGAAATGTGAGTGTTTATACAGCATAATGTGTCGAATGAAATAATACGCTTGCCTGTAAGACGGATGTCCAGATCTTAGCTGAATACTTGCAATGGTTTAGTTATGTAATCTGAAGGTATTTTACCTGCTCACCTGTCTTCTAACCTGACAATACTAATAAGTAATTAAGGTTGGTATTTAAGTGCAGAATTGGGTGACATGAATCAAAAAGCTCAGATCTTTGTATTTGAGCTTTATGAAGTGTGTGTATATGTGCTTTTGTGTATGTATTGTGCACTTTACAGTTGTTATTTTGTTTGATTACTCCTATGGTTCTCTTAGTATTTTCCACTAATTTCTACCTTGCAGGTGATTGTGGAGACCATGTTGTCATAATAAATACAAGACACATTGCCTTCTCTGGTAACAAATGGGAACAGAAGGTATATTCTTCACATACTGGGTAAGCTTTCTTATAAATACTCAAATGAGCTAGTGGTAAATTTGATGTCGTATTTTCTTAATAGTTGCAGTCTTTTTTAGCATATTTGTTCCAAGGGAATTCCTACCTACATGTTCTGGTTTGAGTTTGCATGTGTTGCGATGTTTAAAATGATGCAAACCTTTTTCTTCCTATTTTTTTCCCTTTTCTTTCTTTTTTTTTTTCCCCAGTGTATGTTGTCAGGGAAATAATCTAACTAGAAGTAGAGCAGTTGAGTAAGTTAAGATTTGGTGAGCTGGGTTGTTCCGTGTGAATCCGTGAATACTGTTGTATTTTCTAATCAGTAGAAGGCGTTCCTATTGACACTGCGCATTTAAGATATTTACAGTTGCCAACTTCAATTACTTTATCCTGCCAGTACCTATTTATTTAAGAGTAAATATCAGATTTGATATATTATTGAATCAGAGGATTAAAAAAAAAAAAAGAAATGGAAAAATAGTAAGAAATGAGATACTCTGAAGATTTACTGATGTATACAACAGTGCATAATACATTAATCTGGCAGACATAACTTGTTTACAGATGAAGTGCAATGATCAATTACAAACCGTATGGCAATGATCAGTTCAGTCAAATAAGAACAGTTGCTCCTATTTTATACAGTGACAACACTAGATAATAATCTCTAAGTGTTGAAATGTATCCAGTTGGAAGATCAATAAATCACATTGAGGCAGCTAATTTTGCTAGTACTGGTGTTTCAATCCTGGAATTCCTTTGCTGAATTACAGAGAAGTTCTTGTTCAGAGTTGTTGAAAATTAACACTTTTTTTTTTTTCCTTCTCCACTTCTATGACTTCTTAAAAATTTTCACTAAAAACTTCTAAGTTAAAGCACTTGCATAAGTAGCTAAGTTGGTTTTGAGTAAGTGAAAAGAATTGTACAATTAAAACAAATATTTAAATCTGTGCAGCTCCCCAAGTGGGCGTGTTTTAATGATGTTGGGTTTATTTTCATTTCACTTAGGCTGATACCTAGTGCTGTAATGAAATCAAAATGAAACCCAGCTTTACCTGACATCTGTGTGATTTCCTGGAGCGCTGTATTCATTCCTGCACTGATGTGTTCATTTAAAGTTTATGCTTAAACGTGAATTAGCACGACTTCACCGTGTCACATAGACTTTAGAAAGATGGATGCATTGCAGTACGCTTTTCTTTACAGGAAGTCACGTTTTGTTACTATAGATATACCAAATCATGATAAGGTTTAGCTAAAACAGTAAGAAAACAATAAATACTGTTCAAAGTGGTTGTCTTGTATGTCAGCCAAGACTGGTTGTGAGTCTGGATCATCTTGAAATCTTTCCAAGTTTTTCCGTATCTTAATCCCATTGTATTCTGTAGCTGTGATGGTGTATTTAATAAACAGCTTTAAAAACACATCCATCTGCCTGTGAAGCACAAACTTTTTAATTCTCAAGTGAATAAACAAGAAAGTACAAACGGCATTGAACTTGGATACTTGACAGGATAGAATCTTTCTGATACAATATAGTTGTTGGCCGCATGAGAATAACTTCGCTTTTTGAACGGCTTATAATACTGTTATGCTCTTGTTCAAGATGTAGTGATATAAGTGTTAACATTGTGCTGGAGCATACAGCGTTTTTTCTGTTTTTCTAGCTATCCTGGTGGTTTCAAACAAGTGACAGCAACTCAGCTCCATTTGAAGGATCCAACTGCTGTAAGTGTTTCCCATTTTTTCCCTTTCATTTGTAAAGCTGATTTTTTTGTTTTGTTTTGTTTTCGTTTAACTAGTTCCCCTAACAAAAGAGATCAGTTACCTGCATGCTTAAAGCTAAATTACAGACATTCTGCTAAGGGCTCTTAGGAGCTTGGCTTGTGACTTTTGTGCTTTTGTGAACGGCATGTTTTGAGGGTTAGTTGCAGGTTGTGCGTTTTTCTGTTTCTTCCATACTGTCCAAATGAGCAAATCGAGTTCATTTGCTTCGCTCATTTTTTGTTGATTCATTTGCTTTTAGTTTCAGAGGTCTGACCTTTCTCATAAGCGAACTGCCTCGAGTCAGACTTAGCTGAGTTGTACAGCATCTCAATGACCCTGCTTTCTTGAGAGCCAGCAGG